TTCATGGTCCAGCACACTTCCACTGAGGAACTTGGGTTTGGCAGGAGATTGAGCAGACCCAGATTTGAGCTGGGTTTGTTTATGCAATCCATCGTCCGTGTGCTGCGTATAGGTGGCGGATGATTGATTAGCACAAGCTAAGTCCTTTGCATGGCGAGTGACTGGGCTGCTGTGCTTTCAGCTGTGTCTTGTTGCTTTAGTGATGACTATCACACCACATTAAAATGAGCCGTGACATTAAGACACGGAACGCTCTTTCTGATAATAGCTTGCTATTTGGCGAAAGAATACTTGTGAGTTAGTCCAATTCAAACAGGGAATATTACTGTCATTAACCAGGTAAGCAAACAATAGAGAGTTTTTAGTACACCCAGAACAGGATCTACCCTATTGTGCGCTGGGATAATCTGCTATGCCAGTAATTAGCTGCTGCACATTACCATACAATTTAAGGCCTGCTTGATACATTTTCATGCCTAATTCTCAATCAAACCTCAATTTTTTGTTAGCATACATGAAATAAATAGTAGATTGTGAGGCTCAGTCTGAGTAAGCATTACCACAGAAATTTACTGTAAATCTACTCTAAGTTCAAACTATCAGCCATGTCAGTCAGCAGCAAGACGTTCAAATGTATGTACTTATTTGGGAAGGAAAATCATCTGATTTCTAGAGAATAAATTAAAACATAGTTAAAAGTTTAAGATGAGAATATAACACGGTTATTTATAGCTGAAAACATAATCAAATTTGCCAAAATATTAAATAAACAAACACACAAGCACTCAGGGACTTTTCAGAATGTCGTCTTTCTAATTCTATGGAAACCTGAGGAACTTTCTGTGGAGTTCTGCACAGAGATTCCGTGAGAGCCAACTATAACCAATTCCTGGTCAGACAATTAACTCAATCATAAAAATAATTTTATAAACTAAAACTTTGACAACTAGTGCGCAAAGGCTAAAATATTGAGTGATGAATGTGTTGATGGCTTTGGAGAGGTGGGAAAACAAACATCCTGCTTCTTTCATGAGTGCTAACAGCCAATCGAGAGGAAGACAGATTTTTGGCGCCCTGGAGTGTCTAGCCAATGGAGAAGTATGTACTGACGAGTGTTACTGGCGGATGTAAGTGCATTGTTCCTAGTTTCGTGACAAAAGCTCTAATCATCGTAAGTTCAGCCGGTCACAGTTCAGTCAGCTCAGTGGTGGTCACAGCATGCAAGTGTCCATTTATGTCTGGAAAACTATGCTCATGTACATGTGTTCTTTCTTTTACCATGCCATGCATGACTGTTTAAGGGCCAGCCATGTGAATGTTTCAGTGTTGGGAAGCTACTTCAAAACTGTAGTTTAACAAGCAACTAGATATTCATAAATGAAAGTAGTTCAACTACAGTCAAGCTGAATAAGCAGTTAGCAACACTATGAATTATTACTAAAAAAGCTAACAACACTGACGTGTGTATATATAAAGGTGTTGTGTATGTGTTTTAGAGAGTGTATGTACGTGTGTTGCTGGCACAGGAAACCTCTGCCCTGAGGGTTGAACTGAATACTCAAGGATGAAGAGAAAGGAGAGGAAGAAAGAAAGAGAGGGTGCTTGAGAGCTGTCGCTAACATCCTCTACACAATGAAGCTATTGTGGCATGTCCGGCTCTGACAGTGTGGGCTCTCCTTCAAGTGCACAAAAACCCATTGGCCTTGATAATTTTAAAAGAACACATATATTTGGTTCAGTAGACAACAAAGGAGGGTCCTTTCAACTTTGACACACAATTACTGTAAAACCTTTCCATAATCACAGTACCGTGCTACTCAACCACACAAAACATACAAGCATGCATTCAAATCTCTATATTAACGAAGAAACATAAACAACATTTTAGCATTGCTATATTAATTTTTACAAGTTATGACTACATCACTTCTAGAAAACACTGGGAATCATAGGTAGGACAATAACATTATCTGATTTGAAAACAGTTTGAACTGTGAACCAAATGAACCGATTCACTAAAATAAAAGTAATGTGAGAAAAATATTCGCTGCAGCATTTTGTTTAAAGACAGACAGTGTATTAGCATTATCAAATTTTTAAGAGTCATGTCTTTCTGAGAGCTCTGTAAGGCTGAAGGGGGATGGGGATTTGAGAGTGTGCACTCAGTACTGTAGGCTTAACGGGGAAATAGATATAAATGTGTTTTTTGGGGCGGCTGGAGTAATGAGGAATGACAGAGATATAATCCCTGTGTGTAACCTCAGTAAACACTGGCAGCGGTGGTGTCCTCTTCCCCCTGCTTAAATGGAATTTACGTTAGGTTAGCACCAATGACAAAAATCCAATTTGCAACATTATGCCGCCGGCCAAAATCTAATTTTAAGATGACTGCATTTCAAGAGTTTTCTCTTACATTCCTTGCGTGACGGTAAACTGGGAGTCTTGCGTTCGCTCTCTATTACCTGCATGAGAAGAAATTCCCAGTTCTCGGTTTTCCAATTTCATTGATGTTAAACTACGCAAGAATGCTAAATCTGTGGACTGGAGGAAGGGGATAGATGGAATGAAACATGGAGAAGTAGTTAGCGACTGATAAAGCAGAAGAAGAAGAGTCTGAGATGTCCCCTGACGCTACAATCCTCTTCTGAAGAAGCGCCTGTGCGTGAGGAGATGCTAAGTGTCAAACCATCTGCTTTCGACCCTTCAAAGAGGCTCCCGGCTGAACCTGCCTTATTAAACGGGGCGTCCCACAAATACAAAGAAAGCTGTTCAGGTATTACATACACAGATGCACTGGCTCACCCACAGCTCAACGACACAATCCCACGCTGCTTTACAACCGATCAGATAAATCCCACACCAGCTGTAAAGTCGTGTCTAGATGGCAAACCTCAATCTGTGAAAAATCTATCTATCTATCTATCTATCTATCTATCTATCTATCTATCTATCTATCTATCTATCTATATCTTGCTCATCATCACGGGTTACACAAAAATGTTATCAGCATATTAGAATGATTTATGTGACACTTAATAAAGGAGTAATTGCTGCTGAAAATTCCGCTTTTACCATCACATTTTAAAATACACGTAAACAAATATAGTGCAATATGAAAATGTAATATTTAATATTTTTTGTGATTTATGTTTTACTGTATTTTTATCTAACTAATGTTAGATATAGTTTATCTATAGTTTATCTAACTATGGTGAGCATAAGAGACTTTATTAAAAAACATAAAAAAATCTTACAACCACAGACTTTTGAATGGCAGTGTACATGAAATTTCAAAATTGAAAATTTTATGCCAATTTGATTTTTTAAAAACTTTTGGTCACATGACAGATCGTCACTTTGACAAATTCTCGGCTTTTCTTTTGATGTGCAATCCTCATGGAAATCAACAAATGCATAGCATTCTCTTACATTCTGTCAAACGTAATCGGCGAGTTGATGCAACATACAAACACACTGTATTACGTCGCACATGAATCCTGCAAGACTTTTCACAGAACACCAGTTACCGTCTAGACACGATCCATGACAACAAATGAAGAGGGTACTCTGGATGACTATAGGGTAATTACCAATATTCGGCCGTTACTCTCAGCACTTACTGCCACATTAGTCGGTACCTTCAACAAAGACCCAAATGGGAACGGCTCGAACTCTTAAAGTCTGGCACCAATTCCTAACTGCAGCCGGACGTCTGGGTGAAAAAGACACAGACTGACATAACGGATGGCTAGCGCTCATCAGAGGCTCCAGCACCCTGTCCCCAGCCACCGTGCTGTTTATTTAGAGCCTCTCGCCGCAATCCATTTTTTGTCCGTACTCTGGGTTCCTGCTTCAGGAGATGCATAACGTTACATTCATCTGCCAACCCGTGGGGCCAAAAGTTGAGAGTAATGTGATCAGTAATGAATTTTGTGTTACATTAGGCTGTATAAATGGACGGACAAGCGCAGACTACAAGTGTCCGGGAGTCGGGCTTAATCTAATGATGCAAAAATAGAGACAGAACCAATTATGGAGAGGGCCAACTCGGTGCTGCTGCAGGGACTGCAAATGAATAGGTACAAATCAAATTAGTGCCTAATAGACGCGCTACGAGAGAGGGCCAGTCGATGCTAAATGCATTAGGGCCTTGTGACCTCGCTGCTCCAAGCAGCGGCGTCCAGGATCCAACCTCCATCTCCATCCACTATCAAAGAAAGTCTTGTTCAGACGAGGGGGAGGGCCGGAGAGCAGCAGCTTCCTAAATGAGTTAAACATTTGGATTGTCAAGAGTGGCAATTTCCCCCCTCATTTCGCATCGCTTGGCCGCCTCAATGCGAATGCCCTAATTTGTTATTATAAAACCTCTGAAATGTGTCTTTTCCAAGATGTGTACGAGAAATCACGTAAATACGCCAGGACGTATTCTTCTCTGTGTAATTCAAACAGGATTGAGGAGACATAACTGATTCCTCTAGTCACTGAAGGAATTAGCAAGAGCAAATCGAACAAAATAGGGTTTACCATATTAACTTCTGAGGGAGTTAGTTTGATTTTGAGCTTAATGAGCTACTAATGAGAAGAACAAACTTCACTGAAGTTCTTTTTGTAGGTCTTTAACAAAAAAAAAAATGTTTTTTTTATATACACTAAAGTGCATGTTAGTACTTTTTGAAAGGGTAACACCCCAGTGACAGTTTTATACCTGTTTATCTTAGTATACAGAGTTATCAATACATATTCTACTTTTGAACATCACATAAAATGTTGGTGTCCAATGTTGTTCTAGGCCCCAATGACTTTCATTACATGGACCAAAACATTTGAAACATTACTTTTTAAGAAAGTCATACAAATTTGGAAAACCAAAAATGATTTTTGTGAGAACCATCCTTTTAAATCTGACTGTGACATTAACTGTTGCATTTAATGGTATGTTATCTGACATCCATTGCCTATAAGATGTGCATAATACCATTAATGACAGGGTTTGCGCTCACCTGTCCCAGAGCCCACAATGTCTCTGCTGGGCGACTCTGACATTGCATCTGCCAGCCTCTCCTTCAGGCCCTCTTCTGTGGCTTCCACAGAGGACATGTGACGCAGTCCAAAACTCTCAGGCCAGCTGCCACACACCTCCAGCAGGGTGACACTGCGGTCAAACATGCCTGCCAGAGAAAAAAACAGAGAGAAGAACAACAACAGTTCAAACCACGATTTTGATTCACAACGCATTAAAGCTCATTACGAGTACATTTTATCACTGCAAACTGCAATTTTTTCTGTTCTTTATTTATTGTTGCTCATCAAATTTTATGATGATGATCATACCAAAATCACGCCATACCAACTTGAAAACGTTTCAATTCTGTAAGTCTCACTGAAGTCATAATACATAATGAACCTGAAAAGTGTCTATGGCTATGCTGGTGTAACTCGGAGGTCATAAACAGCTATCTGTGTTTCATCTGGCACACATAGCAGTTCAAGCCCCATCCAACCCCCCCCCCGCCTTCCTCTGACTGGGATAGCAAAGAGGAAATGCCTGACCCCTGAAAACCACCACTGTGGGCCAAAATGACTTCAAACAAAAACACTGGGCTCATTTCGTCCAGCATTAAGCGCCTAGGCCAATAAAAGAGATATTGCAGAAGGAGGGGGGCATTAAGGAAGCGCAGTTTGTCTGTCTCCCGTGATGCTGCATTTCAGACAGTGGCGTCTTTCTGTTATAGATACCTGCCGCATAAAATACAGCTGCTTTATCTGAATGGCCTGTAGGGAGACCCTTTGATCTGCAGGCTAACGGCTATCTGGCCTTGTCTGGCCTCCCCTGCAAACCTTCAGCCACACTCGAGGCCTCTGACAGGCGCTAATGCGCGGGCGGCCAGTGGTGCAGCGCTGATAGTGAGGCAAGAGGCCTGCCGTTATCTGCTGTAAAACACCAGCCCGGCCAGACTCACAGACAGCAGATAACTTCATACCACTTCATAAAAAGCTGTTTGTCCTGTGTCTGCCATTGACTCCTCAAAGCAATGAAATCGCCCAAGTCAACAGGTTTGCCATCAAAGCAACTTCCTGCAGGCAGAGTGGGAGTGGCAACCGTACCTGCTGCCCACAATCAACAGCTCTAAAATACTAAAGATATTAAAGCACATACTGAACAGCACTTTGGTCTTTTATGGGATTTTGATATTTCATAATACCAAAAAATGAGTACAGAAATCAACTTTCAATCAAATCAAAAAAAAAAAATTTGAACACAAACATTTGCTAAAAAAAATAAACTATATGAATTAAAATGACCAACTAAAGGAAATGGAATCAATACATACACTATATATATTGAATTTAGTATTTTTAAAGTAATAATAATGATAATAATAATCTCTATATAATGTAGCCGATATATACACTGCCAGTTCAAAAGTTTGGGCTCAGTAAGTTTAAAACTTTTTTTTTTTTTTTAAGTTTCTTACACTCACCCAAGCTGCATTTATTTGTTAAAAATACAATAATAACAGTAATATTGTAAAGTATTATTAAAAATAACTTTTTTTTAAAATTTGCAATATATTTTAAAATGTAATTTATTCCTGTGATGGCAAAGCTGAATTTTCAGCAGCCATTACTCCAGTCTACAGTGTCACACGATCCTTCGGAAATCATTCTAATATGCTGATTTGGTGCTCAAGAAACTTCTTGAGAATGAATCTTATTATTAATGTTTTAAATCATTGTACTGCTTAATGTTTTGTTAAAATCATGATGATTTTTTTGTAGGACTCTAAAAAAGTACAAAAGAAAATCATTTATTTGAAATAGAAACATTACAAATGTCTCTCCTGTTACTTTAAATCAATTTTATTTGTGCTGGATAAAAAGAATAATAAATAAATAAATTTAAACTGAAACTGAACCTAAACTTTGATTGCTCAACTTACTGGTCAGCAACCTGTTCAGAAGAAAGACAAACACATGACCAGAGCAAAGTGCTTTTTTTCATGGTCAGAGTCATCAAACTCCTGAAAGTTTTAAACAGGTTTCGGAGGCTGTACGTCTGTGAGCATTATTTTAAAGCAGCCCAACAGCTGAAGGAGAACAGCACAGAGGATGCGGGGTCAGAAGTTCATCCCCACCAATAGGGAAGATCTCTTCATCAGACTGGCTGACAGCCGCCACAGCCCACATTCCGCATTATTCCCACCCGTCAGAGCTCAGCCTCACCAATTCAATAATAAAACGCCTGCCGCAGGTTCTGGGTGAGACAAGAGGCCTGAGCGGATCCACGTGGATCCTCGCGTGTTCCTCTCGCTTTTGATTCTTCACTTGGAAATCCTGTCTGAACCACTGAGGTATGAGGATGTGATGTTAACATTTAACAGGCAGAAAAAAAGATATTTTTTATCATCATAAAACCCATGTGGGTTAGTCATCTCCAAGATGTTGGCAAACGCAGGGCTACTTATCTCATTTTTTAGATTTTCTTTATTTAGTTCAAAGAACATTCACCTTGACAGCCTCGGGCTACGGCAGGTTTACTGAGGCATGCGGGGGACACACATTATCCCGTTTCTGGGCTACAAGGGGTACCAGAGAAGCGTAAACACCTAAAAGAACAGCAAAGGTGGGGCTAATTCAATTAGGTTTTATTAAGGGGCCATAAGTGAAATCGAGCTAACAGGCAATTATCCCCAGGAAAGTGTGTTAGACTTGTGTAATGTTGCTCACTTGTATCTAAAAACAAACAGGCTTCTCGTGGAAAATGGACAGTGTGTAAATCACAGGCTGTCATTTGTCCAAGAAGGCATCTGCTTGAGCTGCCCCTGCCGAGAAGACCTCCACCTTTTTCTGCCCTTCTGCCACTTTTATTTAGGAGAAGGTAGATGGAGGACAGGAAATGATAGGTAGAGAGAGGTGGATCAGGAACAGGAAGTGTCCACATGATCAACACAGTATGCACTAATTACAAGCTGACTGAATAAAATAAAATAAAATGTTGGTGGCAAAGTTACATAAAAGCTGACTAAATCAAAACAAAAAGCAAAACAAAAATTTTAATCTGATGGCAAATGACCAAAGTTACTTCAAATTAAAAGCTGAATAAAATAAAATAAAATAAAAACAATTTGGTGGCAAATCACAAAATTACATATAAGCCGACTAAAACAAAAGAAAACAAAAAAACTAGCCTACTAAATCTAGTGGCAAATCCCCAGAGTTACTTAAAAGTAAAAGCTGAATAAAATAAGATAAGTTAAAATAGTGAAGAAAAAAAAAGTTAAAATAAAATAAATAAAAAACAAAACAAAATACTATGACTAACTGCTAATAAAATTGATTACTAAAATTTTGGTGGCAACTTTAGTAGGAAAGCAGCATGGCCAGAATTCATTTGAGGCCTGTAGTTAGTCAAGTAAACTTTATTATCAGTTGATTATGGCCTTGCTCGAGTGAGTGTCCTCTTTGAAGAGATCAAGCCGTCCAACTCTCCAGATAAGAGCGACACTGGGCACTCAGGCCGGCTTTATTTCCGTGCCCTCCAGCTCCTCGGTGTACCCTGCTTTCACTGGCTCTTAATCAGAGACCACTTTAAAGTGCCGCCGGTATACAGACACACACAGCATCAACGGCTCCTAAAAGCCAGACTGACAGCGCTGCAGACGAGCGCACCACAGCTAGAGCGATACGGACCCAAAAGCTGCCAGAAGTTGTTAGCGGCGATGTGTGAGTGTTAATGTAGATGTAAGCTCTGAGGATTAGCAGTCAGATAGATGGCCATAAGGAAGTCTTTTCCCCCACCTCCAAAGCCCCCATCCTCATTACATTACACTGCCTTTTAAATCATTTACTCCCTCGCTCTCTCTTTTCACTCTTGCTCTTTAGCTGTGCGAGTGTGAGTAATCCCATCAATACCCTCAGTGGGCTTTTACACTCTCTTTCACACAATGGATTCCGGCTCACTCAGCCACGGCACTCTCCGCCCGGCTCAAAAGCCAGGTCGGCAAACTTAGAAAAACAGAGCGCCGTCTGGCAATTAGCCTTAAACCTTTAATAGCCAAGAGAGCAACGCTTCGTGTGTGGCGCTGGCTGCGGCTCCTTAAATTGTCAGTGTGAAAGTGTATTCAGAGACATTGTGTCTCCTATTCATAAAAACACCTTTATTCACTCCATGGGTGTGAAACGGCTCTTCCTGCAGGAGGAGGATCAAAAATCAGGGTTAAATCCGTGATAATGCCGCTAAGAGTTATGATGACCTGGTGTCTCCACAAAAGGGTTGTGAAATGATCATAGCACTGGATCATAATGCACCCATTGAGCTTATCTGGATTAGAAAGTCCTGCCTGGGCTCCCAAACACCTTTAATAGATTAAGAGAAGCCTAAGTTTTCATGTATTCACATGCTCTGCCCTTTGTATTTCCTTCTTTAATTATATATGGTTTCAAAACACTTATTCATTCCGCTGAGAGATGGGATGGAGAAGAGGCACAAACAGGAAGCCAAAAACTCATCCACTACATCTGGCATTAACATGCATTTTAGGTGATAGGATAGTGAATAGAAAAAACAAATTTTTAGATGGTTTGAAATAGTTTTTGATCACATTTCTTGAAGATATCAATGCTAATGTGATTTCATTATTAGATTACAGCTATGAGCATTATATGCAATTAAGTTTCACACTGCTAATAATCAAAAGCAGGCCTGAAATACAGCACTAGAAATCAAAGGTTTTAGGTGTAAGGTTTTATATACTAAATAAATGTTTGCGTCCATGTCAGATTGCAAAAACATACAGGAGCTTTCACAAACCCCCATCTGATATTGAGTGCACAGGTGCTATGTGTATCTTGCTAATGTCAGAAGAAACCCATTGCATTGATGATTAAAGCAATAGGGGTGATGTTGTGATTGGTGAGGGCATCATCATTATTAAACCCACTGGTTTATATAGGGTCCACTTCTCCTTTTACCCTCCCTAAGAGCGATTCCAGGCAAGAGTGGGGCTGCTGAACTCGTCCCATCCACCTCCATTTCCAAGTTCAATCCACTCTTCTCATTAGTTGCTCTCAGAAGCCCATAACTCAACATCAAACATCAGCATTAGCGAACAGCGTGGCTGCTGCAGCCTCTGCGGTTCTCGCTCGACGTCCGGGAAATAAACGAGGG